GGAGTTCCAACCTGGAGTTGGCAACCATCAGCCAACCATCAGCCAACCTTTATCTGCCTGTCTGTCTTAAGTTTTACAAAAAAAAAAACCCACAGCCTCTGCCTAGGGAGCAGCTGACATCATTCTCCTTCGGTGTGGAATGGAGTGACGTCCAATCAGCTTCCACATGCAAATGACCTTGGAACGCTGGGCGGGACTGCACAAAGCAGCCAGTCAACCCAGCCAATGTCCTCTGAGTGGCATTTCTTCCGGCCTAACACTAAGGAGGCCAAATTTAGAACTTTGGCACCCACTATTCAATTATATATAAAGGAGAGATAAGATCACTGCATATTATGATGAATGATCTTTCTCTCAATTCTATGTACCAAAGCTAAATATTCAGATTTTATATTGGTTTTTAGCCAGCGTCTCTTCTCAGATATGCTGTATACGGCAGTCATCATATACAGAAAGTGGCAGCTCTTAGATTCAGTAATATTGGGGGGAGGGGAGAGCATAACACCTTTATAAAGCCACATTTTCACTTACCTCTAGCCTAAGCCTCTGAGATATCATCCCTATCTCAGCAGCAACAAACACCACTCTTTTGGTGTGATTCTTAGGCTCTGCTATGATGAACGCCCTACAGTACTGTCGTGTCACTAGACCAGCACCAGTTTGTTCCGGATTGCCATAGCCCATCTACAATGGAACACAACATTTAATTAACCACAAGTAATTCCATAGGGGCGGATCCTGCCCCTATCCTGCCACTCCACTGAGTAAAGGTCCATTATTATTTAAATGTTTATGTCCTACCTTTCCTTTTTGCTCAAGACTGAAGCCTTCCAACCATCACCCTAAGGAGCTTTCCCCTGGCATAATTCTGTTCAAGGAAGAACCACTCATTGGAGGGTGGCCATTTAGGCTGGAGGAAGGCTACTTGGAGGATGGCTGGATCCACCCTGTAGTCTCCAACATCTCACATATGTGCCATAGCACCCCTGTTTACTTGTAACTTCCCTGTTCTTGCTAGCCACTCAGTGGGGATGTGTAGGTTTGCCAGCCCCCAAGTCCAGGTGGGGGTTCCTCTGCTTTTGGGGGTTCCAATCTAACCCTGGCCAGCTGGCCAGTGGGGGAAGCCCTGCCCTCCAAGCCCCACCCCCAAGCAAGACCACCAACCTGGCCACCCTTCTCCCTCCTCTCCTGCCTGACTTAAAGGGATTCAGCTGATTGGCGGGGACCACGTGGTCTGCCGATCAGCTGGAGGGCCATTTAAATCTAGCAGAAGGGAGGGAGGGGGTAGTCACGGGCTGCACACTCAGCTTGCCAGAAGACCATTTAAAGCAGGGGTGTCAAACATGCGACCCGAGGGCCGGATCAGGCCCCCGGAGGGCTTCCATCAGGCCCGCAGCATCATAGCTTGCTTCGGCAGACTCTCTTAGGCCCCGTTCACACTGGTCAGAGAACGTGGGGGGGGAGGCGTGGCTTTTTGCTGCGCCACACTTGTGAGCCGGCCGAATGCAATCAGATGCGACAGCAGGGAATCAGGGGTAGCAGTTTGTCTGCGCACGTTTCCGGCATGCTTCATGCGGCGCTGGAGCAATCAGATGGAGGACATACATCTGTGGCCCATTGCAAGTGTAAAATACTGGAATTTCTGCAGTAGCTTTTACGTCCGGATCTTCAGTGGGATGCGACGGCTTGCTAACGGGTGCACGACGCTTGCCAGATGTGCTTGTGTGATCGCGCCCGTTAAATCCACCTGGCATCCGTGAGTATCCCGCAGCAACTTCTGTGTGTGATCAGAGCCTAGATCACTCAGCCATTTCATGTTTTAACCTGGGTCCTAGACTCAGAACTCTGAGCATGAGATTTCTGTGGTGACTGTCAATAAATCAAAACTAGGTTTGCAGTTTACTGAGCTAATGTTTTATGCATGTTTTTATTTTAAGTTAAAAAAAACTTTGTGTCCTTTATAAAGTTTATATCTCCGCTACCTGGCATGATATTTTATGACACACATGGCCTGGCCAAATAAGGTCTCATTTATGTTAGATCCAGCCTTCATAACAAATGAGTTCGACACCCCTGCTTTAAAGGGTCTTTCTGTGAGTGGGGTGGAGGCCATGGCGCGCAGGGCTGATTTCCCCACCCACCCCCAGAACACCCAACAAATCCATCTGCTGGATCGAGGAGGGGTTCTGGCAACTCTGGGGTGTGGGGTACCCCATCAACAGGGCTATTTTTGGGCAGGAACGCACAGGAACGGAGTTCCGGCTGGCTCCCAAGTTGGCCACGCCCAGCAGGAACATATTAGCATAATAGGCCACACCCAACAGCAGAAATTCATTAGGATTGGCTACATTAGGGGGGTGTGGCCTAACATGCAAAGGAGTTCCTGCTACAAAAAAAGCCCTGGGTTTTGACAACAAACAAGGTAAACAGAATAAGAAGCAAAAGGTGGGTGTGGCTGGATGAGCACACTTCTGGTAACATGGGGGTGCGTCCTAATGTGCTAATGAGCTGTGCGGTAAGGGGTGTGGCCTAATATGCTAATGGGTTACTGGTGTTGCGTGTGGCCTATTATGCTAATGAGTTCCTGCTGGGCTTTTTCTACAAAAAGAGCCCTGCATCAGCATTGCTCATTTCCAGCCAGTACCTGGAGTTGCATCAGGAAAATTCTTTTCTAAAACATGGCTATCAGGCAGATGTCATGACATCACTTATGGGGGAAACCCAGAAGTTATATCAGTCCTCTCTAGGAATTGGCAGAATATCATTTAATGGTCCAGTGATTCCGATTGAGGTGATACATCACTTCTGGATTTTCCCAGAATTGTCGTTATGTCATCACCACTGGCTGCCCCCCATGTCCCCACCTCGAGTCTCTCACTGGTGGCCAGACCACACCTGGCAACCCAACGTTTGACCATCAGCAAGGGAGACACCCACCTGCCCTCCCTTTATTTCAGAGTGGGTGCAAGTTGGACACCAATCTGGGGTCCAAGTAGAAATTTCTCCCCTCCGGTGGACTGGCACTAAGTGGTGTGGGGTGTTTTGTATTACATGATGGCAGAAGCAGTGTGGGTAAAGTGCTCAAGTGGTGCGCAGTACAGCTTAGATGAGCGCCCTGAGGCACCATTTGCAGCATAAAGCTGGCAATCCTCAGACCAGGCCTGGGGCATCGATGCTTTCATGTACCTGAGAAAGAAACCCTTTGAAGAGTGCCAGCACTCTCTACCCGCAGACCCTGTGGCTAGGGGAACAAGAAGTGGCACGCCTTCCTTGAGCATCCTGAAGTCTTGGCAAGGAGGAGCCTCAGCTGTACTCATGTAATAGCTCAAGTCTCGGAGCCAGGGTGGCCTTGCCTGTAAAATCAGGGATGCACAAACTGAAGAGGCCTAACTCTTTTACATCTTACTGGATTGCCAGTGATTGTCACCGCCTCAGGATGACAGTTCAAATTGGGGAGGGCGGTATATAAATCTAATAAAATAAATAAATAAAATGCTAGCACTCAGTGTTTTGGGCAAGTGCTAGAGCATTGTCCCAGTGCAGTGCCAGTGCTTCCAGGTTATGCAGAAAGTGACATCATCGTGCAGTAAAGAGGATTCGCTGCCTCCCATTTGGCTGGCCTGTTTCCTCCCGCCAAGCAACTGAACATCAGCAGGTGGTGGCCAAAATTGCTAAAAAATTTCCAAACAGAACTGGGCAGCTGGCAAGCCTAGGAATGGGGTTTTGGCCTGTGGGCACCACAGACCCCCCCCCAATGATGTAAATAAATAAATGTGGTCCTTTTATTATCTCATCTGAAGGTGTCAGCTCTCCTTATCCCACATAGGCAGGCAAAGGCTCATCTTAGGGTTGCCAGCTCTGGGTTGGGATATACCAAGAGGCAGGGGTCGTTTCGTAGAAAAAGAGCTAGGGGAACTCATTAGCATAATTCATTAGCATATGCCACACCCCCTGACATCACCGGAAGTGTGTCATAAGGCCACAC